GCATACGGTATACGTATTAACGTATTCCTTTATGTCCCGCTTACTATTTAGCTAGTAGTATATACGCGATAGTAGCTCGTGCGACCTCTCTATACTATAGTAACCGGTAAGCTTACTATTATAGTATCGCTTAAGAAGTTCTTGTCGGATCGAATATTTAGCGGGGATATAGTATCTGCCCTTAAACTTCAAATAACCTTTGTTATCGACCGACTAGTTACTCTTACTAGATCGAGTCGTTCGCCTACTTATAAGCTTGTCGATACGTTTAGTAGCAAAGGCGTCCCTCTACTAAGTACGTAATAGCTTATCTATAAACGATTAACTATCCCTATTTGTAAGGTTATTTAATAGCACCCTCGCTATTAAACGAGGTACGCATTATATATATCTAATAGTACTAGTAGCCGGATTAACTATAGTAGTGCTATCGCTGTTACTATATATTGCGATGTCGACTAGGGAGTTATTATAACTTCTCCTATCTATGTCCTTAGCCCTTGCCTTAGTACGCACTATTAATATAGTAAGAGCATTAATATACTTTAAGCCGTCGCGGAGTCCGGTAAGCCGCTTATCCTACGCTTGCTTATTAACAATACGGGCTATAGCAATCTTATACTATAGGGTTAGAAACAATAAATTGATGGATTGCTAAGTCCCGCTATCGTAATTAGGTCGCCTCGATAGGCTATTAGCAGGGTTGCTTACGCCTAGCCGATATAATACATTAAAATCAAACCTAGCGAGGTAGACGGCCTATCTAGCCTATCGACCTATAACCCTAGTAACCTTCGTAATTCTACGGAGGTTGTTATAGTCTGTATAGACCTAAATAGTATGCTATACACTATCGAGATAGTAGCGCTAGTGCTTAAAGGCTTCTACGATTGCTAAGAGTTCTTATTCGTAGGTCTCGTAGCGACGCTTAGTATCGATTATCTTCCTCGAGAAGAAGGCAATCGGGTACTAGTAATAGTTATTATCTAATTGCTATAACATAATAGCCGATATAGCGAACTGTAAAGCGTTAGTCTTAATACGGATTAGTTTGCTTAGTACGAAGTAGTATAACAAGGGGACTTTAGTAAAGCGCTTCTTTAAACCGTTAAAAGCGGCTTGTACTCTGTTAGTCTATTTAAACTCTCTAGATAGATTGGCCTTAGTTTTAGTAAGCTCAGTTAGGGGTATTACATACCGTAAATAGCCCTTAATAAAGCGACGATAGAAATTAGCGAAGCCGAGGAACGATTGAAGCTCCTTAATACTAGTAGGTATTAGCTACTTAGTAATAGTCTTAATCTGGTTAGGATTAGCCTTAACACCCTCGGTAGACACGAGGAAACTAAGAAAGGACACCTCTTTAGTAGCAAAGGTACATTTAGAAGGCTTGCAATACAGTCTATATACCTTTAAACGATCGAGTACCTTACGGACTATAGCCTAGTACTCCGCAATGTTAGGTAAGTATATATAGACTAGGATATCGTCTAGGTAAACTATACAGAGGTAGTCTAATAGGCCTAATAGGGCCCGATTAATATAGGACTAGAATGTCGTAGGGGCGTTAGCTAAGCCGAATAGCATAACTAAGTACTCGAAATAGCTATAGCGAGTACGAAAGGCTGTCTTCTATTTATCGCCCTTGCGAATACAGATGCGGTAATAGGCGTCCTTAATGTCTAATATAGTATAGTAATAGGCGCTAGAAAGGCGATCGAGGGTTTTATTAATAAGCGGAAGTGGACAGCGGTCTTTAATAGTAACAGCGTTAAGCCTACGATAGTCGACATATAGGCGCAGGCTACTATCCTTCTTTAGTACGAACAGGATAGGTACACTAGCAGGGCTATTACTATACCGTATCCGGCTATTAGCTAGGTTTTCTTCTAAGTACTTATATAAGACAGCAAGCTCTCGTTTACTAAGGTTGTAGAGGGGCCTAAAAGGGACCTCTTTGCCCTCTATAATATTAATCTTATAATCCGTCTCTTTGAATATAGGCAATATCGATGCTAGGTAGTGTTTAAACACCTCGATATAGGTCTCCCTAATAGTCTAGGGTATGCGAGCGAGCTAGTTAGGGTCTATACTATTAGGAGGCACAGGTTTATCGTTATTACTACCGAGTAGGTCGGTAGTCGGATTAGCTAGAGTTAGGTTGCTAATAAATAGGACCCTAATATCGTTAGGGCACTCGCTAACGTCGATGTGTTTAATATCCTCTTTCCTAGCGATTCTAAATCGCTACTTCTAGATGCCTAAGTCTATAACTATAGCGTAGTATTTAAGAATAGGGTTGCTAATAACAATATCGGATAGGAGACTGTCTATGTCTACTACGTAGGCAGTAAAGTTTAGTAGGCGCTTATTACTAAGGTCGTCCTTTAGGGCTATATAAACATAGTAGGCCCTATAGGTTAAGTGCCGAGCGTTATTAAACTAAGCAAGGGTTAGCAGGTTAGTCCTAGGCAATTGTCGAAGGTCTAATTGCTTAGCTAGGCGATAGTTGATAAGGGCACTAACTCTATTTCCTAGGTCTAGCGTAACCTAGGTTTTATAATTGTTCCTATATATATCCCCTACGAGACAGGTACGTGTAATAGCTAGTACAATGTCGATAGTCTTACGCTGTACAAGGCTAACAGTTAGTACGGCGCTTATTCTTTTTTCGACTAATTAGAAGGTTAGCCTATAGGGGTAGCGTTAGCTACTAAAAGGGTTTTTCGGTGCTTAGCGGTAGTACGGTCGACTCGGGCCTAATCCCTAGGTTTATCGCATTAGCCTAGTAGATAGCTAGTACTGTTACAATTGAAGCATTTTAATCCGGTTAGGAGGTTGCTATAGCTATTGTTATTAGCAGAGCGGTTAGTACTATAGGGATACGAGCCCCTTCTACGACCCCTATCGCAGCCTCCTTTATATAGCCGTCGGCTACGGCCCCTTCTACGGTTATTGTTGTTGCTACCTCTATTATTAGCATTAGTGTTATTCTAATACGAACCTTGATTGTTGCCTCCCTAGCTACGATAGGTAGATAGTCGTATCTTAGATTCTAACCGTTACTATAGCTATACTATACGCTCTATAGTTTCTACTTTAATTATGAATTGAATTCGTATAAGATTAGCCTATTCGAACACACGGCGGCGGTCCAATTTAAGGATAAGCTCCTACCTCAATTTAGGGCGTATTTCGGAGATCTATACAGAATCGGTTTTAGCCGGAAGGTTATCTTCGAGGGTCTTTAAATAGGCTTTAAATAAGCGAGCCGATTAATTAGTCTTTTGTTTAGCTCGAAGGTACTAGTCCTAAGCGTGTTATTGCCTTAGTATAGGGTTCCTAAGGGTGTCTAGTATAATAGTCTTATAGGTTTTCTACTAAATAGTAGTCTAGTTACTAAGGGAGTCGAAGTGATTATCCTAAGTGCGTTTTAGGTCGCTATTGATATACTACATAGCGTATACGACTAAGGAATAGTCATCTAGCAGCGCTCTTAGTGCGTTGCGCTAGTTAAGCTTATAGTCGCGAATGTAGTCGTTGTATTGCTTCCGACTAGAGCTATCGAATATAGTACAATCCTTAAGTTTAGTATCCTTCTTTTATATAGAGGGTACTGCTACTAGTCCTAGCTTAGCAGTAGTTGTTAGGGCTTCCTATAAGCGTCGAATCTCGAGGAGATTATCCCTTAGCTATTGTTCTTGTCGTAAGGTAGTAAGCCTGTTCTAAGTAGCTTCTTAAAGTCTCGCTACTAGCTAAGGGCTAAAGGCTAGCTAGCTATATCGTCGATTAACAATGTTGTTAAGAATATCGTTAATAGGCAATTCTAGATTATTACCTAGAATTACAGGTTCTTCTTTAGTAGGCTCTCCGGCAGGCTCTTTAGTAGGAGGCACTTTAGTAGGTGCTTTAGCAGGCACTTCGGTAGGTACTATACTACTAGCGTTGTCGTTGCTAGCGCTACTAGCGGCAGTACGGTTGTTGTTGCTTCGTAATAAGCCGGCTATTATAAGGGGTAACACTAATAATGTATTATAAGCCCCTAAGATGCGGATATAGCGGAATTAGTAGATATCGGCTTAGTACGATTGACTTAGTATAATAGGCCGTATAGAAGACCTTGCTTAATGATTAGTACGGTTATTCTAATAGAATAGTACGTATAGATCCCGCCTCGGGCGCAATATAGTTAGATTAACGGTTTTCGTAGCTATACCGCTAAAAGCTTGAAATAAGGACTATCTAGCTACTACCCTTAAAGGGTAGATCGAATACTATATAAGAAGGGTATATTAGCAGGTAGATAGGGTAGTAGTAGGTATAGGTAGTATTCGATAGAGAACTAGGAGGAGAAGGAGGAAGGCAGGCTAGTTAGCCTAACGCTAAGCGCCAAGCCCTACCTAAGGCACTAAGACCCTAGCTTCACTCGAGCTAGTTACATACTAATTACGTATAGCCTCTAACACCTAGCCTTACTAAGATCCTTCTTTCTAATACTGTATTTAATATTAGCATAGGGTTTAGGGTGTTTTTAAGGTAGGGCAGTAATGCTCTGCTTAGCTAGCTAGTGTTCTAGTTTAGCTATAGCATTATTAATAGCATTTAGCCTATCCCTATTCTTAAATTGGATCTTATTAACCTAAATAGCTTGTCTCCTAAAGTATTCCTCTCTAGTTAAGCTTATCCCTAACATTACTTTTCAATCCTATAAGAATCCTTATATTTAAGTAGCCGATGTCTAGTCGGGGCCTAAGCCTAAACTATAAGGCTTATAGGTTATAAAGGAACTTCCTAGTAGAAGTCTGCTACCTTATACTATTAAACTTCCGCTTCTGCTTTTTATTCTAGTCTATATTAATATACTAGGTTCTAAGACCTTCTAAGGTTTAGATAAATAAGCCTTCTCTTAAGGTTAGAGGGATAGTCTTATATATAACCTAGTATTGTCTCTAGAAGACTTAAGGTTGTCTAGCAAGCAAGGCAGAAGCAACAGCCATCTTCTACAGCCCAGAAATATACATCCCAATACTGCATTCCTCTAAGGCATCTAGACAAGTCTTAACCTCCTTAATAATTAATCTAATCCTTATATTTATTATTTCTTATAGAGGCATTAAATTTGCGTAGGGTTTTAATTCTAATCCCCTTAATAATGCCCTAATACTCTTCTTCTAGTTAAGCATCCCCTATTTCCTAATTATTAGGGGTATAAATAGGTCCTAGAGTATAAGGAGGAGGAGTTAAATTAGGTAGTTAGCCTGCTTACTAGGTTATAGGCTACTGCTAATTAGCAGGCCTAGCTTATAGTTATTAAAAACTAGGCAAGTTAGCTAATAGCTTAGGATGTTAGGCAAAGTATAGGAGGGTTCTTAAGGTATTAAGAGCCTTATTAGCTATCTAGGGGGTAATTTTATACCTAGCTATATCTATATCGTATTCTATAGTTCTAGACTATAGTTTAGTGCAAGCGAGTAAATAGATAAGATAATAGTAATTAAACAAGAGGGTTCTAAGTATAATATATAGTAGAGATATTTAATAATAAAGCCCCTAGGCTTAGTACTAATATTTAGAGGGCAAGTTAGAAGGCTAATACTATCGAAATAGGATTAGATAAGGTAGTACTACTAGGTAGGAGATCTCTGCTACTAGGGCTTGATTTTTATAATAGGAGCTAGGCTATATATATATACTAGTTCTTAGCCCTTAATTCCTAATCTAGTATTGCTAATATATTGCTAATACGAGTAGCCTTAGAAATACTATCTAACTCATTTTGACTGCTAAGATAATCCTAGTTATTAACCCAGGCTTAGTAAGGATCCCTTATACGCCCTAGGCGTAGACTAGTGTAAGCCTACGTAGCGAGCTTAAACACATCTCGAGCTGCGCGCCCGGGTGTCTATATATTAGCAACTCGCGCTAATTGGCTTGACCTACTTTTACCCCGGTCCTACCCCCTACTTCGAGTTGCTAGCAACTCCCCTAATAAAATTAGTTGAAATGTGCTTTAAATTCGAAAGGGCTTTAGGAATATAGTAATTTCGAAGGTCGCTAGCGATAACTTAATAAAGCTAAAGTTAACGTATAGTATAGCCGTTGCGCTAAATCCGAGGTATATCTACTTGCTCTTGCCTTATTGTCTATTGCCGCCGCCGCTATTGCCTCTATTATATAGATTACTACTAAAAGTCCTACTATTAAACAGCCGCCGCTAGTCTTCTAGTAAGAATCGCCGGTCGTTAATAAACACGCGTGCCTGTTAGTTACTAAGTTGTAATATATCGATTAGCGGCGACTGTTATAGTATATATTGTCGTAGGTCTAATAGCTATAGTATTAGTATATTCGCGACGACTATTAAATAGCGAAGACCGCTCGGTATAGTAGGCGCAAATAGAAGGCGCTATTAGTAAAGGACTTAGCGCATAACGTCTATTAAACTGCCGTCGTTTAAGGAAGGTATACTATATCGATAGGTGCCGTCGCCTACGTAGTTATACTGTCGCCTATATAGTAGCGCTATATTAGTCTCTAGCCTTCTATATCCGTCTTAATATCCTCTTCGAGGGTAAAAACGCGCTATCGAAGCTTCTTAAGGTCGGCGACGTCGCTAGGTATAGATACGTCTATATTAGTAGACGTTAGTAGCCGTTATATAATATAGGCGATATAGAATAGGAAATATAGGAGGAATTTAGGAATAGTAGAGATGTGGGTTTGCCAAGACTACGATTTGTATAAGGTTTAGCGGGGCTTAGTAGGGCTGGAGTTGCTAGCAACTCCGACTGGCCTGTGCCACGTCCGTGCCACCCCTGGAGTTGCTGATATATAGATACTCGCGCGCCCATGTAAGATGACTAACAAAGCAATGAGCAACAACCCAGGAAGAAAGGCTATCCACCGTACACCACGTCCACGGCGGCTGTGTTGCGCGGAATTCCTACGGCTCTGGCCATTCGAGGCTCCATACCATCGCGAAGGCCGGGATGTGTTTTTGGACCTGACATATTTTAGGCCTTGGTTGTTCTGCAGCTATGGTATCGCAGCATTGTTCCTCGCCCGTGTTGCTGTCATTGTAATTCCCGGTATACGAGAAGTCAACATGCTTGCAGATGATATGAGTCGGAGTCAGCGCCCTGGGATGGACTGGCATGGCTCTATACTCGGCGTCACCGGTCTGGTCCTGATAAACGTGGCCTGGAACAATACCCCAGCATACGGCTGGGCAACGCCACACGTCTAGTTTCTGCTCGTCGTAGGTGTCCTTGCGCTGATTACCTTCTTCTGTGTTGAGTCTCGTGCGTCGTCAACAATCTTACCTCTCAGCCAACTCACATAGACGGTGTCGTATCCTCGGCTGCTTCTCGCCTGCGGTTGGGGCTCATTTGGCATCGGCTGTACTATATCTTTTGATTTCTTTTCGAGCTTCGCCACCCGACACCTCTTGCCATGTTGGCGTATATCACATACGTTCTGGTATGCTGGCTGCTAGCAGCTAGAACTTCCGGATTGCTCTTGACGCACGCTCCAAAGGCCTTCATCATGATGCTCTGTCTCCGCACAGACCCTCCCGCTTCCGGCTTGCCGCCCTCGCTTGCGAGGGTCTGAAGCCAAATCCACTAAAAGTGCAGATTTCTAGCTAACTGTATAGAAACTTTCAGCATTTGGCGAAATATATTAATCTGAATGGTGCATTCGATAGCGCGTATAAAGGGAAGACGATACATACTAATATTATATACATACGACGTTATAGTATAGTATAACTACGTTTCTCCCTAAGCCGGTTAGCTATAGCTAGCCGCTAGAGGCTAGATCTGCTATATGCCGTATATCGCACTTTGTCGCATAACATTAACACCTATATTACTATATAGAGCGTGTAATTCTAAGTATCTTTAATATAGCGACAATTATTAGAAAGTATAGTTATACTAAAGTATTAAACAAGTAGTAAAGCCCTTCTAACTAGGCTAAAATAGTTAATTGTCGCTTTGCAGTATTTTCCTATAAAACATATATTATCTAAAAGAGCGGCTAATTCTAAGTATAAATAATAGTAATACCGGAAGTGTCCGGTATAGTAGTATTAAGATATTACGAATGCGCTAAAGCTACTTAAATAGCTTAAAGCCGGCTTCTTAGTATATATACCTATTCTATATAGACTAGTCGCTTACAACGCTAACGCTATTAAATACCTCTATATATAACAGGAGTACAATTCTAAGTCGGCGCTATCTATCTATACCGGTTTAAAGTATGTGTCGTACTACGTTGTTATACTACTTATCGATATTAATTACGCCTCGGACGAAGCTAATCTAGCTCGCGCTAGAAGGTAGCGACTAAGTTCTTCTTAGGACTATTAATAATATACTAATAGATACTGTCGCGGTCGATGTTAGAGGTACTATATTCGAAGGTAATTATATTAGCACCTATAGTCGCGAGACTCGGAGTAGAAGCTCGCTTAAAGATAGCTAGTCTAGAGGTTAAAAAGGTAGATATCGAGTCGATCTTAAAGATAGGCTGCTATCGCGTTATATATATACGTACGTATTGTTTATATATATACACATTCGACTAAGGAAGGTTCTAGGTCCGACTAAAATCAAAGAAGCGGTGCGGGTATTAATATGCGGCGAATACAGGTTCCGTGTCCGTACGCTTTTATATACAACGCGACGCGTTTAAAACGCTATACCTAATACCGCCCTTCTATCTCTATTTCTATACCTCAAAGTCTTCTATACTATAGCCGAAGTTAATCTCCTATTCCTCGTTCTGCTATATAATACTAACCGACTCGATACTACGAATACCGCCGCTATAGATATAGCTATAGGCGGTACTAGCGATGCTAGCCTACTTAACAATATATCGAGCGATATAGGCGGCGCCCTTCCGAATTAGCATAAGTAAGAGATTAGTAACCGTAAGACCGAGCTCCGCCGCTAGTAGCGCGCTCGTTAGAAGGCACGAGAATAAGAGATTAAGTAGGTAGTACGTACTCGTAATCGCCTTCGTCTACGCAATATACTACCTATTTAGCGCTTAGATCCGATCGAGCTCGACGACGACGACGATAGTAAGACTAATAAGGACGAGTACGATTTAGAGGCCTAAGAGCAGGATAATAAGCTTAGTAAGGATAAGCTTAAGGCCGAGCAGAATGCTAGTTTTTCGGCCGATTACGACCTAGCGGCGGATAGCGATAACTAGGACGATATCGAGTCGGACGAGGAAGAAGAAGAGCCGCAGCGACTAGGTTATAGCAAGTATAGTAAGACTCGCGGTAGGAAGAAAGGTCCGAATTCGTATAAGAAGTAGCGCAAGGCTCGCCGCAATAATTAAGAGAAGTTTAAGATTATTATATAGATACTGCGCGACGAATATATATTAATAGCTAAGCTTGTTTCGATGTATATCGGTATCGTAGGTATACGAGATTATCGGCTAAAGGTTACTAAGTTAATTAAGAAGGGCCTGCTATAAGAAGGTCTTATAAGCACTAAGGTCCTACGTATAGAGCTAAAGCGACTTGTTAGCAAGAAGTTCTTTAATAAGTACAATCTAGAGAATATATCCGAAGAACTAGAAGCCTAGGAGGACGTTACTCTTCTCGAAGAAATAGACTAGCTTATTAAAGACACTATACTAACTTAGCATCGGCTTCTGCGGTCTCTTCTACCTAACTAGGTATACAGTATAAAGAAGATTAAGGCCGGTCTCGATATAGAGGCGGAGGTAGAGGCGGGTCGTTCTAGTACGGCTAGCGATAGAGATAATAATGCTTAGGCTTAGGAGGACATTATTAGCGATAAGTACAACCGGATCTAGAAGCGTATTATAACTATAACCTATATCGCTACCCGGTCTATTGCTCTTAAGAAGTTAGCCTAGTTTAGTAAGAAGTTCGGCTTGTACCTCTATACTAGCGGTATTAAGGCTCGTATCGTTAATATACTAAGCGTAATAGGTATCTGTCTATCTTTCCGTACGCTATAGCGTCTATCGCGGAAGACAGCTTGGGCTTATCGTATATATATCGTTAAGAAGGTTAAGACTAATCGCCGCTAGGTACTTATATACGATAATTACTATAACCGAACGAATATTCGTAGCACTTAGACCTATAGAAGCAATACTAAGTAGGAGAATTGGACGACCTCTTATCTCGCATTCTATCTAGAGATCCCCGAAGGTAGTCTAACTCGGGATATGCTAGACTATTCTAAGAAGCTAAACGTACGACAGATTATTCGCGATATATCTAATAATCTATATAAGAAGTCTACCTCTTACTATCTTATCGACTAGGCACTTAGTAAGGTGTTTCCGAGTATCTAGGAGTGCTTTAAGGAGTTTGACTTCCCCGACGTAGAGCAGGCTAAGAAGAAAAAGAAGAAGAAGACATAGACACCTTAGCGTACGGGCATAAGACGCAGTAGCCGGCAAACTCCTCGATAGGAGCTAGAGCCGGAGCTAGAGCTAGAGCTAGAGCTAGAGCTAGAGCTACTAGAAGAGAAGGAGACTAAGCGATTACTCAAGCTCGTTCGTAGAGGCAGTCTATAATAGCGCTTCGTATAGCGGGCGATCAATATTAAGACTAAAGGCAAGATAGAAATCGTTATATTACCGGTATCTAGATACGATAAGGCCTCGATCTAGGAGACATATAAAGTCTATAACGATATCTTCTAAGAGTTCCTTAAGCTAGACCCGGACAACGAGGAATATTAGAAATAGGCGCTTATCCTCGTTATTAGTAATTAGATAACAGCAGTACGCAATCGGAGTGTTAAGCAAGAAAGCATTAAGAGTACCCGCGCGTATAACCGGAAGGAGTTTATCGTCGTTATACCGGCTATATTCTACACTAAAATAAACATTAGATATATACTACTTTATACCTATTTCGATAAGAATAGCAAGGGTAAGCCTCTTACTTATAACATCTAGAAAGATAGATACAACCTAGGTATCCCGCGTATAACTAACAAGCTATAGCACTATATTAACTAGCACGTAATAACTAGCGCCTATAACACTCGCATCGTTACGGTATTTATCGCTAAACTCCGCGCGCGTAGCTAGATCGACCGTACTAGTAAGCTAACTAATCTAGTCGTATTAGCATATATAGCTAGTAAGAACTCTAACGCTACGGCTGCTTCGGAAGCACCTAGAAATACTAAAGGTGCTAAAGGTGCTAAAGGTGCTAAAGGTGCTAAAGGTGCTAAAGGTGCTAAAGGTGCTAAAGGTGCTAAAGGTGCTAAAGGTGCTAAAGGTACTAAAGGTGCTAAAGGTGCTAAAGGTGCTAAAGACTAGGCTAGAAAACCTGCCGATCTACTCGCTAGTAGTCGCAAGGATATCGTTAAGGCTATTATCGTATATATAGAGCTAATCGAATACATTAAGATTGTCGAGTCTATTTATAAGTCCTTATTTACTAAGGCAGCCTAGGATAGCGATAAGGACAAGGAGGGCAATATTAAAGACCTAGCCTTTACTACTATAGCGCGTCTTGTCTAGGAGATCGAGCTAACCTTAATCGTTTATAAGGCTATTCGTAAGATAGATATCGGGCAGCTAAATCGTATAATTAGTTATCTCGTCGTATTCTTCCTCGGTACTAAGTAATAGAACTATAGTCGAGAGATAGTCTACCTCTACTAGCTCTTATATAGTAAGGCAGCGAAGGAGCTACTTATTAAGGCAGTACTAGCTTCGATAGTCGTCGATCTAGGCAATAGTCGGGGTATTAGTATAGATAAGATATAGGAACTACTTAATAAGGAGCTTGCCCTCGACATTAAGGCCTATAGTAACTTAACCTATAACCTAGCTACAACTATAGAGCTCGTATCTTAGAACCGCACCGCCGTATATACGGTTAAGGAGATGTTCGAGGCTATAGGCCCGGAAATTACGACCTACTATACCTAGAAGAAGCTCGCGAACTCTATCTTTGCGTACGTATCTAAGTTAGTCGACTAAGGCCTAGCTAAGCCTAGATTGCCGGTCGAAGGTCGTAAGTTTAGTCTCTCCGATAACATCCTTACTATAGGCAAAGACCTTATTCTCGGTGCTATTAACTAAATAAATAAGTGTTACTAGCTATTAACTATTAGAATTACTCGGACAGGCGAGGATAACGACGCGATTAATAGCCTAAACAATATCGATAGAGCAGATATACGAGAGCGGATTAACGGCGGAGCTAATCGTAGCGATAGATTCCTAGTAGCGGCGGCTAATATTGTCGGTCCTACATTCTAGCTATACGTTAATACCGAAGGATATTATTATATCGATCGCGATATAGAGGTAATAGATTTAACTAGTAGCCGTATAGACCTCTCGGTTTTCTAGGATCCTAGTATAAGCCTCGATAATGCTATTAATCGCGCCGTATAGGATTCCTTTAGGCATAGTCCTTTTAATATCCGTAGGGGCTAATACTATATAGCAATATAGATAGCACTAGACTAGGGTAGTAGTTATAGCGGTTAAGGATCGATTAAATAGAAGTAGCTTTTATATTCGGCATATTCGGTATTAGGTATATGCAATCCAACCTACTAGTTCTATTATTTAGTTCTCGTCTCTTCCTATTACTTAATATATAGGTAGGCTATTAGCCTCTAGTCGCTAGTCG